CTTCCTTCCTTCCTTCCTTCCTTCCTTCCTTCCTTCCTTCCTTCCTAAACTAAACCTTCTTGTCCATCCTTCTCCTGTTTCTTTCTTTGGGTGATTTTTGGTCATTAGCACAGTGGCAGCTGTAGTGTTTCCTACTGTCACAGAGGAGTTTCTGGGTCCTGAACAGCAGCAGGGCATTATGGGAGTTGTAGTACGAGCCCTTAATGGTCTGTACAGTATAGTAATGGGGGCCAGAGTTTGACACCCCTGCTCTAAATGTTTACAGGTGTCAACTACTGCATTATTCACTTCATAACGTTCATTTTACAAACTATTCAGAGCAACAAAACCTGTAAAACAAAAGCAAAACAAAAAAACTAAGCAGAAAACAGCTCAAGACGCATGTCAGTAATCACCGTTTTGTCCATTTTAAGTGTACCTCTCCAGGTCATCTTTCTTTGGGCTATTTTCCTCAAATGATCCCCTCTGACCTTCTACATCCCACAAAAGCAGAATAATGAGGGCGAGCAAAGGTTTGCATCAACATACAGCCACTCATAACCTGTTTGGACTGATGTTTAATGCTCTTATCTCAGACTCTAAAACACAGGGATGTAACACGTGTAGATCACGCGGGTAAATATACAGTCTCTGAAGTTATTAATTTGGATTTTTCTTCCTAGTGTGGATAAAGACTGAAACCTTTAAATATCTGTTGGATAACAAGTACTATTCCCACATCTGTAAATCTGTTGTTAGTATGGCTTTGTTTGTCTCTCTCGGACATTTCTTAATTTTTTTTCAATATGACTTATTTGATTTTAAATGTTAATGTTTTTTCTGCCCATTTCTCTTCATCATTTCTATTACTTGTGAATCACAATGTCTGTGTACAGTAAGAAGTTTCTGTTCTTTGAATATCCGAAAGAATGTGAAAAGTGACCTCGGCATACCGTGTGGATTTCTGAATAAATACAGAATAATAACTATTTCCTTTAAAGCGAAATAATAACCTCTGCCTTTAAAGCAAAAACTCACAATAGTTATCTGAAAGTCAGCCGGGTTTAAATGGTATCCAGTTCAGTTCAGTTCAGTTTCAACCTGTGCAGTTGTTATGTTTTATACGTTTTTACACAGTCCCCTGACTTTATTAGCATTGAGGTTTAACTTTAAAAAAACATTTTTGACAAAAAAATGCTGAATTGGACCAGCCTTACTGTGCATATTCAACAAACTACTGAAAGTATTACATCATCTGTCTATTGTTGTCATTAAGAATCACAACTCCAGGTCAAAAAGATTATTATTATTATTAGTTGGGTCTCAAACACACCCATATGTTGATAACACTTCAGTGTTTAGGATTTTCCCACAATAAAAAAAAAGCTCCATTCTCATTTCTGTTTCTCATCCCGGGGACACACAGCATGAGGGGGTTGGTCATGTGACCATTATGAAACGAGGATATATGTAGAAGTTTTCAAATTCATGAACGATTTTAAAAAAGAGTCATAGGATGCTCAATTAGCAGAGCATGCAAAGCAAAGATAAAATAAAATAAAATGTTAATATCTAGTTCAGTTTGGGGAAGTCCGGATTCAAATCTCTTAAAACAGATCAGGACACTAATAATAATTAGAGAGTTTTCTCCTCTCAGGTTAATTTCTCACTTGCATAGGATCTTTTTAGATTTTTTTATACGTTTTGTAATTATGGAGCCTGAAAGCAAAAAGACTTGAAGCCGTCTGTGTGCGGATTTTAGAGATGGATGCAAACAGTTGTTATTATTAATGCATCCACAAAGGCCTAATGTCCCAAAATCAAATATCCTAAGAACAACACCTCATTCTTCCAGTGTGTAAATCAGATAAATGCCAAATTAAAGCTTTGTTTGTGTGGAATAGTAACTGTAAATAATAAATAAGCAATAAATAAACTTATTAAATATATAAAGTTTCATAAAGTTTATTAAATGAACTTAAATAAGTAATAAATAAAGTTATTA